AAGACCCTGGGCTTCTTCCACCCTTTGTCTTATTCCAGCCGCCGCCTCCATGCGGAGTTCACTGCTGAGCGAGACTGGGACCAGTTCCACAGGCCTCGGAACCTCCTCCTGGCCTTGGTGGGGGAAGTGGGGGAGCTGGCCGAACTTTTGTGAGTAAACGGGAGACGTCCTGGAAGGGTTTGTGTGTTGCGGGGGAGGAGAGGGATCAGACTTATTCGATGATCAAACATTCATGCATTCCGTTTCTCTCCTCCTCGGTGCCTGGTGGTGGGCATACAGTGATGACTGGCTCGGGGGTCATATCCGGGAAGCTAGGGTGAAGACAGCAAAGGTGCTAAGGGATGGATCAGGAAGGAAGGCATCCTCATGCCAGGGAGCAAGTATATTTACAAAAGGAGAGAGGCAGCAAAGGGCAAATGAAATACCTGGACAATCAGATGCCACTTACATGGGCAGAAGGGCAAAACTAAACCAGACTCACTGCCATCAAGCCAATTCTAAAATCACAACCCTATAGGACAGCGGGGAGCTGCCCTGTGGGTGTCCGAGACTAAGTCTTGATGGGGGTAGAAAGCCGCCTTGTCGTTCTCCTGAAGAGCAGCTAAGTGCAAAGGCCACGTGGCAGTTTATTGTGTTTGTGAGATAGAAGAGATTGGCTTTTGGTAGAGCAATAAGATGATGACACTCGAAGAGGCAGGGGGTGGGGGGGTCATCAGACTTACTGGCCCTGGGCCGTGTGGTCAGGGGCTTGGGTTTTCTTCCAAGCATGGTGGGGCGGGGGCTTAGTAGAAAGGGGATAAATGTCATATGTGCTTTTAAAAGATGGCTCTGTGCAGAAAAATGCATGTAGAGAAGTGGGTTCTGTGGTCCAAACTGTAGGTTTGGCCCTAATAAGGGTAGGGCTGGGTTAAAGTGGAGTTGGGTCTTGAAGCTTTGTTTGACTACGTGAAAGATCCTCTCATCTGCTTGTGGGGTCGGGGGTGGGGGGTGGGGGGGGGATGGGCTGGGTCAGACATCTGTTGGGGTGTCTTCCCTCTCCTGACTTGGCCCAAAGGGAAACTTCATAGGGTGTGCCCAGTCCATTCCTGCAGACTGGGGCAGAGCCTCTCCTAGGGAGCATCTTCTAGCATCTCCACACGTGTGTCTGTCCTGCTCCCTAGTCAGTGGAAGCCCGATGAGGCGCCTGGACCCCAAGCCTGGCCTGCCAGGGAGCGAGCAGCCCTTGAGGAGGAGCTTAGTGACGTCCTCATCTATCTGGTGGCCTTGGCAGCCCGCTGCCGGGTGGACCTGCCCCAAGCAGTGCTCTCCAAGATGGACACCAACCGGCGCCGGTATCCAGCCCATCTGGCCCGAGGCTCTGCCTGCAAGTATACGGACCTGCCTCAGGAGGCTGCCTCCAAAGACCAGGTGGCGGTGGCACCTGCAGACCTTACTCCCCAAGACTCCACGGGACAGACGTCCACCTAGGGTCCTGGACACAGGACCTGCAGCTCAGCACAGAATCTGAGGAACGGGGCAGGCTGGTCCCAGAACCTTTTTGGTCCTTTCTCGGGTCACGTGCCTGGGGGCCCTACTTCCTGAGGTCTTAGGCCTGGGGACCTTGGACAAACAGCCTCCGCTTTTCCTAATAAAACTGTTTTTCGGCAGCAACCTCTAGTTCTTCCCGAGGTGGCCGGGGAGGCTGTGTTCAATAGGCTGGCGATGAGCACCCAGGATGTCTCAGTCCCCAGATTTCTCTGGTGTCCCTCCCTCCAGGGTAGAAAAGCCTGGTTTCTAACGAATTCTACTGCCATCTCCCTTTTGGGCCTTCAAAGGAGAGAGTGTATATACTTGTTGGTTACATGCCCAGATTTCGGGGCTAGGGCAGTTTGTGCACAACCTTTGTCTCACAAGAATTTCTACACATCAGCTTTCTCAACTGTAAAAGGAAGATAACAGTACCTACCTGATAGGCTTGTAAGGTTCAGGTGAGTCACTATGTGCAGAGCGCACAGGACACACCTGGCACAAGCTTGGTGAGTTTACTGTTATTACCCATTTGCGTTTTCAGCTCAGCTTTTGGGAACCCAGAACAGGAAACCCCAGCAGCTACAACAGGCCTGGACCCCAGGCCTCAGCCTTGCCCATCTGGTGTGATCCACCACCCACTTGCCCCTTTGAAAAAGCAAAGGCAAATTTGTTTGCCTTCTTGGCCTGAAGATAAAGTCAGACTGGCTGCCATCAAGTTGATATCAACTCATAGCAACCCTATAAGGCGGGGTAAAACGCTCCTTCAAGTTTCCAAGATTGT